GCAACTCCAGGAGGTGAGATCTTGCATGGAGCCCCAGGCCGAGGGAGATTGACGGTTCTTTTGTGTTTCTTCCATTTGCGAATAATCGCACCAATTGTTGTCACCTTCTCACCAAGCTGCTTGGCGATGATCTTGTAGCCCATTCCAGCCTTGTGTAGGTCTACAATCTTGTCCCTGACATCCTTGGAGAGCTCTTTGGTCTTGGCCATGGTGGATAGTTTGGAATCTGATTGATTGATTGCTTCTGTGAACAGGTGTCTTTTATACAGGTAACAAGCTGAGATTAGGAGCACTCCCTTTAAGAGTGTGCTCCTAATCTCAGCTCGTTACCTGTATAAAAGACACATGGGAGCCAGAAATCTTTCTGATTGAGAGGGGGTCAAATACTTATTTCCCTCATTAAAATGCAAATCAATTTATAAAATTTTTGACATGCGTTTTTCTGGATTTTGTTGTTATTCTGTCTCTCACTGTTCAAATAAACCTACCATTAAAATTATAGACTGATCATTTCTTTGTCAGTGGGCAAACGTACAAAATCAGCAGGGGATCAAATACTTTTTTCCCTCACTGTATGTACCGTGCCAAATCTGACTCGGATGTTTTGTTTTTCCGAAAAACCTGGCGAGTTCATCAGTTACTCCCACAATTCCTCTTGATATGCAAATTCCTTTGTCAAGGCGCCCATTCAGACGCTGTCTTTCTGACAGACCTGTTCTTCACCTGAGGACGGCTGCTTGCGTTGTGGCCGAAACGTCGTGAGAATAATTGTATTGTTTTATTTTTATTATTTTATTATTTCCCTTCTACGTGACTTTACCGAAAGAACCAAGATACTCCCACAATGTACAGTATTTTAATAGTTTGAATTACTTGGGTCAGTTTAAACGCTCATGTTATTTGATTTGGCATTTAGTGCCCTGTTGATTTGTGCATCCTTGTAACCGCTCAATTGCAAGGCTTCTTTAACATTTAATTTCACGTCTCAGACTACCACCATCTGACACTTTCTTAGCCCGATGTATGAGCGTCTTGATGAGGATATCTGCGCAGGGTGATGGTGTGACTCTACATTCGGATAGGCGTCAGTGTGCGATTTCTTTTGGTAAACGCTGTGTTATTAAATCCTTTATATTAAGTTCACTTGCTTGCTTGCTTGCGCGCTTATGACCGTGCAAATCTTTCCCGTGATCCAATCGAGCTGACATTTTGCACAGACTCGTTGTGCGTGACAATTTCTTTTCGTGATAATTTTTTTCCAAAATTTTACACTTTTTAGGTAATTTTTTTTTTATATTTAATTGCCAATTGCTTAATGCTGGCAGGCAATCATCTGACCCATAGGTGGCAGCCATCTCAAGCCAGAGGACGAAAGGACTCTAGCCGCCCGTTTCAAAGACCAATGTGGGCTGGGTTGTGGCCCATTGAACACGCATATAAAGGATTTATAGTGAAAAACTTTGTTTTTACGGGTTAATTTTTTTTACCATTTCAACTGCGCCCGAGCAGAATATCCAGAAATGGTAGAGTTCTATCAGCCTTTACTTCTGTAGTGGTGATTGTCACTCACCATTCAACAGCCCTGCAGTTCCACTTATCGTCAAGAGTGCAGAGGCGTTACCTCGCCAGGGCGAATGCCCATGGGCCAGAAAGAGGCCAACGGTGGATCCCAGTAAACGGATCCTGGGACACATTCCCCAGGCCCACGGGTGGGGGGGGGGGAACCGGGGGAATGATGTCACCTGAGAGTGTTCCAGAAGGAGGGTGTGGCTAGGGCGGAGCAAGCCACGGACGAGTATACAGGGAGGAACAATGTTCCACACTGCCCACCAGGGATTATTTAGCTGTCTGTCTGACTGTCTGTCGTGCATAAATAAATATATAATACACACAGTTCTTTGATTGGTGGAGACCTTACAAACAGCTCTTTGATTGGTGGAGACCTACTGCCGGGTACGGAGAGGGGAGGTGCCTAAGGGAGGAGGGTCAGGGGAGGGGCCTAAGGAAGGGGGGAGTCAGGAAAGGGGCCTAAGGGGGGGGGGGAGGGGTTCAGGGGAGGGGCCTGAGGGGGGGGTCAGCGGAGGGGCCTGAGGGAGGGGGGGTCAGGGGAGGGGCCTAAGGATATGGGGGGGGGGGTGTTTAGGGGAGGGGCCTAACAGAAGGGGGATTAGGGGAGGGGCCTAAGGGAAGGGGGGTCACGGGAGGGGCCTGAGGATATGGGGGGGCGGGTGGTCAGGGGAGGGGCCTAAGGGAAAGGGGGTCAGGGGAGGGGCCTAAGGGGGGAGGGGCCTAAGGGAGGGGGGGCGATAGTTAAGGGGGCTGTTTGCCTGGCTACCTAAAGTCAAGTTATCTTTTATACATACAGGTACGAACAACAGGTTCCACACTGCCCACCAGGGAGTATTTGTCTGTCTGTCGTGCACGAATGCGCTGTCCAACCAAGTTCCTACCTGCCCACTCCGAAGGAACGTGTTATAAGCCAGAGCACTCAAAACTCTGGCTCAGTTATCTGCACACTGAAGACCGGGCTGGAGAATAGGGCCCTGGGCCCCAAGCACTACAGCCCTTCTAAGTGCCGGAGCTCAGTGAGGCCGGTGGTCAGGGGAGAATAGGTCCCTGGCAGAGAGGACCCTGGACCCAATCTCCGCAGTCCTTCTAAGAGCCGGAGCTCAGTGAGGCCGGTGGTCAGGGGAGAATATGTCCCTGGCAGAGAGGACTCTGGACTCAATCTCCGCAGGAGGTCAGGGTCAGTTAGCCTCGACTAGGCCCCAGCCGGAGGACGATAGGGAACGGGTTACCAGTGTTAGGTCCCGTATAGTTCGGAGGCCATAGCTCCCTCGGTATCGGGTGAAGGGACCGATATGCCCTTCGTGATAGGGACCCTGTAATAAAGACAATAAACGTGTTGGCTCATAAGAAGTTTATTCGGCTGTATTTACAACACTACACTTCCATGGTGAACTGGATGGACGTGTTTTGAAAGTTGAGATTATTTAGAAATCCGTTAAGTGGATCTTTTTCGTATGGCCAGACCACCAATGTGCCATCCACATCTCTAAACCAAGCAGAGGGTTTACGCGATCTAACCCAACCCCCCCCCTGTATTATGGATGATATTGGTGGCGAAAGCCTACGTGTTAAATTAACTAGTTGGTGTTGGAAACCTCTTAACACCTGTTTTATTGCCAGAAAGGGTAAACGCCTATTCTTATTTTTCATACTTTGATACGGCAAAAAGATCCCATGATATAGCTGCTCAACCTGAGCTATAAATGTTCTGATACGTGGCATTGTCTTGATACTGTACGCCTTATGGCATTCTGTAGTCTGACACTGGTGAGACGAGGCCATAAACAAAGCTGTCCTCTGGTGTAGGCCAATCAACATCAAAGACAATGGATCGAGAAATCGTTTTCCACGATTGGCGGTAACTTACATTGTCTAAATAATCTGTGAATAAGTCCGATTAATGTTGTTCCAGAAATTGTCCCTACTCACTTTGATGTCCAACGGTTTAAAACCCACACAGGTGCAGATTTGTTTATTTTGCACCTAAATGGGCAGTGGTGGTTTCTTTAAGTGCGACATACTGGGGTTTCCCTCATCATCATCTGAGAGACCGATTCCTGGGTCTGCTACATGCATCACCGGATGATCAAAGACCGCTGTAGAAGATCCGCAAGAAAAATTGCCAATGACAATAATAATGGCGTGAACCACAAAAAATAGTGCAGATCACTGCATTTTCAGTTTAACGCGTAGTAGGAGGCTTTCTCGACCAATACTATACGGAATAAATGTTTTGTGGGGGGTTAGATCGCCTAAGTATGTCGTTGAACCCGCCACCACTCGATAAAGTGAATTAGGTAAGGTTTGTCACGTAACAAAATGTGAATAAGTTACTTCAGCCCCACCGGTTGTGTGTTGGAGAGTAAAAGCCCACAACATTTACATTTTGAGTACCGCGAAGTTTCGCTGGTGATCAGAACCACCAGCCTCATCAGCCGATTCACCGGCGGCAAAGAGAATACAAAAAAAAGGACATGCAGGTTGGGAGCCCGATCCCAACCCTGACGCCTGCTGTATATTTGGGGTTTGCATAGTGGAGAGATGTTAACTACCTCGCCGGGTATGCAGGAGGTCGTGGGTTTTATCCCCACCCTGACGCCTGCCGTGTATTTGGAGTTTGCTTGTTTCTCTCTCATCATCATGATGCCTATGAGATGTTAACTACCTCGTCAGGCATACAGGTGGTCGTGGGTTCGATCCCCACCCTGACGACGCCTGTTGTATATTTGGAGTTTGCGTCTCTCTTCCCATGGCCGAGTGGATTTTTCACAAGGTCCTCCGGTTTTCCCCTCCACATGTAGAATCGATCCGGACCCTGGCGTGGCTACTACCAGGGCCGCATTCAGGTTCTTGTAGGCCCGAGGCACTTCTGTTTCGAATGTCTTAAGTGATGACTTCAGTGATAGCGCCTTGTCTTCTCTTGCGCTACCCTCTGTTGCGAATGAGATTGTGTGAAAAACACAATTTGAAAGATGTCATTTGCTAATTTAGCAATAGAAAAAAAATCTCTAAATGTCCATCTCTGGTTTTTAATTTCTCTCACCTTAAAAAAGGAAAAAATTGACATGACTCTGCCTTCATATGAACTCTGTGCGAATCCTTGCTATACATAAATATATTTATTCAGGATATCTTGGTTAATTTTATTTTTAATCAAACAAAAAAGACATGGTCAACATTTTTTCGTAGGCCCTTTAGTTTCCGTAGGCCCGAGGCACAGTGCCTACTGCGCCCTTTTGGATAATACGGCTCTGGCTACAACGACGAATGTGTGAGCGGACTATCACCGGTGGTTGTTGCCTCACCCGCCATAGGAATGTGGAATTTCCACCACTGCCTGAGGGCCGCGAAGACAGACGTGACCGCAGGCGTCGATACTGCCCTCCGCCGAGAAGGTGAACCGCCGAGAAACGAGAGGCCACTCGGGGGGAAAAGGGTCATCGCGTTACAACTCAAAACTTTAATAAAAACTAATTTCTCTAGAAACTGCTTCTTTTACGTCACGTTCGCGTTTGTTGTCCTTCCCGGTTGGCTACGGCACGGTGCGAAGAAAGTTCAACGCGCGGTAACGTACAATCGGAAACGTACGGGTACACATTACAATCGTCACTCGAAGCTGCCACCTGTGTGCGTGTTGTTTGTTGAGTTTCAATAACGCCTCGCCGGGGTGGCACGCTCACACGACCAACCCGGGGGGGTCGTTGGAACCTGGGAAATTCCATCTTTAGGCCACGGACCACGGCAGGAACCTCTACCCCATCGCCTATGGGCAGGCGAACTCCGTTAGTCGCACCGACGGTAAAAAATTACATTTCTCAGCGGCCAATACGCGTGAACTCGTTTAACACCGTAGTCGTGGTAGTTGTCGGATTTCACGACAAATGTTATTCATGAGAGAGAGGGGGCGGAGGGGTGGTTTGATCGCGTGAATATATAACCTCACGGCACTCGAATTGTAAATGTTGCGGGGTTTACTCTCAAACACACCAGTTTTGCTGAACTGGTAACCAATTCATTGGCATGTTGGGAATAACGACACATTTATATTTACGGGATCTAACCCAAACCCCCGCCCCCCCCCCCTCGATTACGAGTTAACTACTCGATAACCCCAATCGTTACCAAGCAGTTATCGCGCATCATACGCAATGGAGTTATCAGACAACGTTCCGCCGACGCCACCACAGCTTTATACCGTCGAGCCAAACATCCGTTCGGGGCTTCGTGTGGACTCCCGGCGACGACAAACGGTGATGATTTGGGGGGAAGAGGAAACTAGAAACGCTTGGAACATTACGAAATAACTTCTCACGAGAACCCCTTAAACCAACCATCCAACCGCCTTTCTCCTTCGCTGTATAAAACACGAGCAGCTCCGCTGTCCACTCCAACAACTCGCCTCGCTCACACCACCGCGACCGATTTCGAACGCAGACGCGAGCGAGCGCGCTGGTCGAGATTCCGTACAAATCGACGCCGGCGAAGGGTCGGAGAAGCGGTGGGCGGCGATGATGCATCGCAAGCGGTCGTCTCTCGATTATCTGGGGTCATGGGAGGAGGTGGAGGGAGGAGGAGGGGAGGGGGGCACAGGCACGCCTGGACACAACAAAAACACGCGGATAACGCAACAACAAAAAACACGAACGAACGTCGTTCTGCTCGTCTACGGAGAGTTTTGCGTGGTTGGGTGTGGGGGGTGTGAAGGCATCGCCGTGGGTCGTCGCCTGCCTCTGAAAGTAGTCGGGGGTTCACTTTGCCCCCCACTGCCCCGACACGTGACCACGTCTATAGTCACGTGCCGGGCACCGAGTCACTGACCCCCCCCGCAACCCACATCGACGAGTGAGGAGCAGCGGCTGATTATGATTCAAAGCAGCCACGGGCGAGGAGGTAAGAAATGTGAACGAGCCGATATGACCGAAGATTCATTACACTGGTCAACAAAAAAAAATTCTGGCCTGGACTTTTGCAGCTGTTTTAGACTAATTTCAGGGTGCTGATTCCAAATAATCTGATCTCAGATTTGCTCTATCACATAATTTTTTATGCTATCGGCATACCCCATTTTCATTGATTTTACCCGAAATTAACTCTGTCACTTATGATTGCAAGTTATTACGAGTCAGCGACTGTTTTAGTGTTAAAATATGGTGCTGTATTTTTAGGAAACTGTGTTTATAATATCATTTTATGTAGATATCCACATTTATTTAATATTTTTCTTCTGCAGTTTTTATTGAAAATGCAATATTTGATATCTCAAAAACCTGATGTGATAAGACAAAAACTGATGCCAGATTTGGAATCAGCACCCCAAAATTACCTTAAAACCGTTGGAATACCTTATGCCAGAAAAAGTGTGTAGACCAGTGTTATTGGTCTCTGAAAACACATCCAAGGCTTTATTTATACCGGCACGATCTAACCCAAACCTGACGCTGACGGATATTTATTTTATTATTATTACTTTAGTTTATTCCGTAAGCTGGATTAATCGCCCCGCGCGTAACAGGGAGAGTTGACGCTTCAAGACGGCCGTCAGGCGACGGGTAAGACTTGATTTGAAGCTTTCGTGACTGCAGGAATCCATGATCTTTGGTTCTTTCGGTAAAGTCACGTGGGTAGAAAATAAATCACGACGTTTCGGGCGCAACACAAGCGTCCGTCGTGATTTATTTCATACCTACGTGACTTTACCGAAAGAACCAAAAAGTATGGCTAAGACTGTTAAACAACAACAAACATAAACACCAGCTCTCCGCCTCCCCCACCACCCCCCTCCGTGAACTTTTTGCAGGCAGCAAACTCAGCGCCTTCCACTCGACGAGACGGGGCTGAGCGGAACCGTCAGACGACCGCCCGCCGTGGCCTACGAAGGCCGCCTCTGCTGCCTTGCGTGACGCGTGAACAGACAACGCGGCTCCCAAGTCTACAGGACTCGGGGAATCTGGTGGGCTTGGGTGGGAGACTAACGCTATTTTATTTTTATTTTACCAGTTAATTTTTTCAGAAGGGAACCCCCGGCTATCACAAATGACAGCTCAACGATTTGGCCCAACATCATCATCATCGTCGTCGTGTGGAAATGTACGGCAGCCAAACACTCTCAAAGCGCGTGCGTGATGTCCAATCCAAAATGTGGAGGGGGGAGGGGGTTACCGGAGGCACTGGGAGAAAAGTCCACGCGACCACGGGGAGAGAGACACGCAAACTCCAAATATACAGCAGGCGTCAGGGTCGGGATCGAATCCACGATCTCCTGTATACCAGGCGAGGGAGTTAACATCTCCTCGCCACCGTAGGGGGGTGGAGGTCATGTCTTGTACAATACAAACATTGCGGTTTCAACATAAACCAGCGTCACGCGAACTCTGGTCATCCTCGCAGCAACGGCTTTTGGCTATGCGTCGAACAAAGACGGTCACCCGCATCGCTCGCTTTCAGATCGGCTTCTGTGGCCGTCTGGAACGCTCTTCCTTGCGATGTTAGAAAGCCCGCTGGGAGATCGAAGCGAAGGTTAAAAAAAGTTAAATAAATACAAAACAGTTTGGCACGCCGGCTTTCTCGACCAATATTATCCACAGAAGGTTTTTTTTGGGTTAGATCGCGTAAAAATATAAACATGTCGTTAACCCCGCACCACCACCACCGGACACAGCCAATCAACTCAGGTTTGTCACGTGAACAAAAACGTGGCAATTAGTCGCGACTTCACAATTCCGGCAAAACCGCCCGACGAGGCTGCCAGCCAATCACCAGCCTCACCGTCGCACTCGAACTGTGAAAACGCTGTGGGGGGTTCTCTCCTCTCTTCTCGACACCACCCGGCACACGCGGGGGCACTCCGGCTCACGCGCATGGCAAATGAGCCGGGGAGGGGGTGTGGTAGGGGGGAGGGGGTGGTGGTGAGGAGGGGGTGGTGGGGGGGAAGGCGGTGGGGAGGGATGGGGGAGAGGGATAGGGGTGGTGGGGGAGCGGGTGGGGGAGGGGATGGGGGGTGGGGAGGGAAGGTGGGGGTGACGGGGAGAGATGGGGTGGTGGGAGGGATGAGGGAGTGGTGGAGGGGTTGGGGGGGGTGGGGGGGATGTGGGGGGGGGTGGGGGGGATGTGGGGTGGGGTGGGGGATGGGGGGTGTACCCTTGCTACCGGGGGTACTCCGACGCCGATCCGGGCCTCGCGGCCCCAACTCTGTAGTTCGAGCCCCAGGCCACTTCAAAGTGCTTCTTGGCTCGGGCGGCGGGGGGAAGTTCCTGTCAAGTTCCTGGTTGTTACCGAGCCGAGCCGGAAGGCCGGACGGGCGCCCAGCAGGAGGTCGAGACCGACTCCGCTGCCGCGTCTAACAAATTGAACATCTGTAACAAAGCAGACCAGGTGTGTAGTGTACGGACAAATGGGGGTAGCGCGCAGGCGATGATGCACGCGATGATGCACGCATGCCACGTGGCGGGTGAAGGGCTCACGACGGGGTTGAATAAAGGGTTGACGGTATGGGGGGGGGGGGGTTCACGAAGGGGGTTAGTGATAGCGGCGACTGGCTCACGAAAGGGCGAAAAGAGGTTTGACGAAAGGGTTAACGAGAGGGTGACTAAAAGGGGTTCAAGGAATGGTTTACGAAAGGGTTGACGGACAGGGTCAAATAAATAGTTGACTTGTCAGGGTTAACCACAACGGTTGCAGGTGTCCCGGTTTTACCCGCCCCCGTTAACCCCGAAGCACCGCGTGAGTGGCTGCCCCACTCTGCCCTGCGCCACACGGGGCGAGCGGTGCGGGCCGTCACCGAGAGGGCGCGCACGAGATCACGTGGAGATGGCAGGCGGCGTCGTCAACGCAGGTCGCGCACACGTGCGTCCCGCTTGGGTTACGGACGCTGCGTAGCGGAGTGGCCCCCTTGTTTTGTGTAATCGGGAAGCGTAGACGCCGAACCTCAAGACGCTATTCCTCACACACCACACAACGCTGCCCACGATTTCATCGTCGATCGTAAAATAACTTTTTTTTTTAAACGTTTCCCCCCCAAAATCCTCTCTCTCTCTCGCCTCTGTCCGCGTCACCGTCGCCACTTACAAAAACGGACGCGGTCCACCCCCACCCCGTGTCCCTCCAGCGCCCCTGCCACCCACCAACCACCAACCACTCTATAATTTACGTAGCAAAACTCGAGAGATTTATTTGCGCCGTCCGGGGGAATCTCGCAAGTGCCGGCGACGAGCGAGAGCCACGCTGGCGCGTCGTCAACGCGGCTCGGCTGTTTTTTTTTTACGGATACTCGGCGCAACAAACGAAGCAGCTGCCAAACAACACAAGCAGCGACACCACCGACGCAATAATAACTTAAGACAGCGAGGGGGGGGGGGGGACGACGACCTCCGAGTGGCACGGTGTGTGGCGCCAATGCCGGGCACTGTCGTTCCACCGAATCGTCGCTGCCACCCGATGACGGCACGGTGCTCGCCGCAGCATCGCCAAGAGAACACGGCACCAACCGGCCGTGGTGCCACACACAGCGACGTCAGGAGGACATGGCAATGCCACCGCCATTTGCCAGCGCCGCCCCCGTGTGAAATCGCCACCGTGCTTCAGTCAACTGGCGGGCCGAAGAGAACTTCGAGGCGGGGGTTACGGGGGTGGTGAGAGCGGTCGCACCGCCGGACTCATCGCGCCCTCTCTCGTCACCGCGGGCTTCAGCGCGTCTCCCCTCTCCCGCCCTCCACGGCAGCCCAAGCCTGCTTCCCTTAGTCCACTACGATCAACGGTAGCGACGAATTCACTCGAACATTTTAAACGTGCGCGCGCGCGAGAGAGAGCTGCCATGAACGTGTGATATTTTCTAAAAAAATTAAATTAACATTTCAAGACCTTCCTTCAGCCTCCGCACCCCCCCACCCACCCACCCCCCCACCCACCCTCTTCACCTTCACGACAATGGTCACACACGTGGGCGCAGATGAACGGAACGTCCAGAAATAAACGGAGCAGGAGCGGTCGGAAGATGCGGGCAGCAATTCCGACCGCACGCTAAGAAACGACACGCAACGGTGTTGCGGTGGCGGACGTCTTTCGAGTAGACGGACATCAGATCGATCCGAGCAGGAGGAGGTGGCGAGACAGACCGTGCGGAGGTACGAGGTACGCCCACCCCCCCCATCGGTCAGCCAGACGCTCGGAACAGGGGGGGGGGCTCTGTCCGGGCCGCCACACGTTCCCAAGAACCCGTCACACGTCTGCCGCTGCAAGAGAGGGCGCTCTCGACCTACGTGCGTGCTGAACTTCTTTCGCGCTGCACTTAGCACGGCCGCGATAAATCGGAGGTGCGGCGTCGTCGCCCGCGTACCGACGTGTCCCCCCCCCCTCTAGGACCCGATTAGCGCGACGGAGATGCTCCCAGTGACGGATATCACTGGGAGCATCTCCGAAGCAGCAGAACTCAGGCAGTGTGGATTCTAGGAGGGGAAATTGTAATTTTTAGTTTGTTGTACATCAGAGAAAATACAATCCATTTTTTTCGCGTCTCTTAACGTACGGCCAGATTTAAAACGCTTTGAACTTCGGGAACGCCCATTCTCTTGTAAGTTTCTCAATATCACCGCTGGCCTCGGGGGGGCAGTGGGGCCCTACGGAACGAAGTCCCGTGCGTGGCCGCAGCGTGGGGCCCTAGATCTCCCCACCCCCCACCACCCCCACCACCCCCCCCCCCTATGCGTTCGGCGGTATGAAGAAGCATTCCTAGTTACGTGCATTTGGTCCGGAGGCAAGTGTTTCGTAATCGCTGCGTGCCGGTGCGTCATCAGCCGACCGGTTCATTGAAGTGAAACGCCACGGGCCGTTACCGCTGCTGCCGGGCGTCCGCCCACCGCTGAGACGGTGCGAGCGAGGTGACGTTAGCACGCGTGCACGCAAGTGCCGAGCATAGACCGGTCTACTGGAGCCCCTTCGCACGCACGCACACGCACGCCTGCATTGCTGCAACACAAGGCAGTTGGATCAAGAACGGCTCGTGAACCGGATCAGAAATCTTCTCCTCTCGTGAGCCACTATTGTTGTTATGTATTCTGTAGAGCCATTGTCGCTGGTTTAAACTCTGAACCCCGCCCCCCCCCCAAAGCCCTCGTCATATTCTGTCAGAGCCGACCTCGGCAAAAATTGTTGGGGAGTTGGGTCTCTGTATCATTCTTGTCAAGAGGCCGCCCCCCCCCGCCTCCACCCCCCAAGGCTATGACACGTCTTGTCATAGCCGTCACGTGTCTATGGAGGCTTGGCACAGCGGGCGTGTGGTGGGGGCAGGTGGGGGGGTAAATCTTGTAATCTATGCACCTCTAAGCGCAACGGCGTCTTCCGGACCCACGACAGACTTCCGCCAACTCACGTAGCAGCGGCAGCACGAGAATCATGGCACACTTCAAAATAAATACTCCAAGAAACAAAAATAAACCACCACAGCTCTCGTCTATAATTAGGCTCCAGCATTTAAATAATGGGGCAGGGTAAGCCAGCTGCGACAGGGACCTGGGGGCATTTTGTTTCGGCGCAAAAGAAAATACTTTAATATCAAGATTGCGGGACGACTCGCCTCCGACCCCAACGGAGGCTTTTTTTAGTTCACGAGAGCAGACGTTAAAAACGGCTCATTTACACTCAGAAGCAACACAAACAACTTAAATAAATCCTTGCATTGCAATTTATAAATAGGTGGGAGATTGTACAAAATCAACTGTGCAGCCTTGAAAACAATTTCTTAAATACCAATACAAAAAAAAACGAACTCAATTTGCATCCAAAATGAAACAGCGCCGTGCCCTTTACGGCTTCGAAATGTAAAAAAAATAACCACACACACACACACACCCCGCGGGCGACAATTTGTCACAACGCGACGTTCGGGGGACGTGGTCCTTCCCCCTCCTCCTCCGTCGCGATCCTCACGACCCCCCCACACCCCCGTGACGCTGCGGTGCGGTTCATGCGCGGACGACCGGGGGGGGGGGTCTGGGGTTGGTGGGGGGGGGGGTCAGCCAGTGGCAGTGTTGATGCAGTCGGCACTTCGAGCCCCGTTAGGCTATTCGATGCACAACCTGTGTGATTTTTATTATCTTTTGATATTTTTTTTATCTTCGAGGATAAGATCGCCATTGCGGCCAAAAGCTTTCCGCCCACCTCTGCCAGACACGCGACCCGATAACCTCTAAGGTCTGACCTCGACAGTCTCCCGCCACCATCCCACTGCTCGCTCATCAGATTCAAACTCCACTGGATTTTATCTTAAGTTTTCGTCCGTGCATTTCGTTCGCAGGTCGGCAAATGCTCCCACGTGTCTCGCTTTCACGGAAATCCACACAGGTTGTTGACAAATAGCCTAAGCCCCGAGACTAAACAGGACTGGAATGTAAACTCCATGAACACTGGCCGGGGCGGGGGAATGGGTCGAGTGGAGGGACCCAAGTCGTTCGTTGCGCACAGCCCCTCGACTGCCCCAAGAGCCCCCAGTGGTGTTGCGGGGCAGTAGGGGGCCGGGGCGTAGCGAGCGAGCGACCGGGCGACAGAGCGACAGAGCGACCGAGCGACCGGGCGACCGGGCGACCGGGCGACCGGGCGAGCGGTTGACCGGGCGAGCGGTTGACCGGGCGAGCGGTTGACCAAGCGACCGGGTGAGCGGTCGCCCGGGCGACCGGTTGACCGAGCGACCGGGCGAGCGGACGACCGAGTGACCGGGCGAGCGGGCGACCGGTTTACTGGGCAACTGTGCGACCGGGCAAGAGAGCGACGACTCGGCACGGAGAGCCACGGGGGGACGAGACGGGCGAGCGATCGAGCGCGGTGGGGGAGGGGCGGCGAGCGATCGCGCGCACATTCGGGGCGACCGCTGGCGGGCGGCCTTCTCAGTCGACGGGGCTTTGGAAGATGAGGCGCACGAAGCCCTGCTCGCCCGTGAGCTGCGCGGCGCAGAAGGGGCACGTGGCGTGGAAGGCGTGCGTGCCGTGGGGCAGCGGCACGGCCGCCCAGTAGCGCGCCGTGCGCTCCGAGCACACGTGGCCGCACGGCGTGAGGGCGTGCGTCGGGGCCTCCCCGTCCACGTAGAAGCCGGCCTCGCAGCCCAGCGACAGGGCCACGTAGGGCCCCAGCGAGCGGCACACGGGGCACTCGCGCCGCTGGTCCTGCTGCTGCTGCTGCTGCTGCCACGCGGCCCCCGTCCCCCCGGCTCCCGCGGCGGCGGCGTCCTCGCGCAAGCCCCAATCGTGGCGGCCGTGCACGTGGCCGCACGTCAGGTAGGCCCAGGGCTGTCGAGCGTCGGGCCGGGCGACGTAACGGCCGCCCCCTCCCCCCGCGGCGCCGCCCATGCGCCGCTGCTGCTGCTGCTGGGCGGTGCTGGGGAAGGCCAGGGTGTTGAGCCCCACGGGGCACTGCGGCCGAGCGGCGTTCAGCTCCTGGCGCAGCAGCTCGATGTGCCGCACGGTGGGCGAGCGGCGCAGGCCCTCGGCCGTGCGCCACAGCAGCGTGGCGCCGCACAGGTCGACGAGGGAGCCGTCCTGCAGCTCGTTGCTCTCCGTCTCCACCTGGACGGGCCGCACACCGCATGGGGGGGGTGTGGGGTCAGGGAGGGTGGGCGCTGCATGTCTCGGTGGCGAGATGTTAACTCCCTCGCCTGCAGGAGGTCGTGGGTTCGATCCCGACCCCGACGCCTGCTGTATATTTCCCTCTCCCCGGAGGCGTGTGGGTTCTTCTCAGAGTCCTCCGGTTTCTCCCCCACCCCCCACGTTTAGATTCACGCATTTAAGAGTACTTGTGTAATGCGGGCGTAAATGGGTGGGGCGGATATGACGATCCGAGAGGGAGGAGTCAGGGTCACGAGGGGGAGAAGTTATAGCGGGGAGACAGGAAGCCATCTGGGTCAGTCGGGGGAGTGAAGGGTGGTGAACACGTTGGGTGGTCGCCGTGCCTCAGCCTGGTGGCTGAGGGGCTCATGACGGCGCCAGCCAGCGGGGTGGAAGAGAGAGTGGAGGATTGAGGTTGGAGATGGCGAGATCGCCACAGAGGCCACGAAGGGCTGAGGTAGGAGATGGCGAGATAGCCACAGAGGCCACGAAGGGCTGAGGTAGGAGATGGCGAGATAGCCACAGAGGCCACGAAGGGCTGATGTTGGGAGGTGGCGAGATCGCCACGCACGGAGGAACAGGGAGCAGCGATGGAGCTGCTGTGAGAGCAGCCAGAGGGCTGCACCAAGAGCCTGCAGCGGAGCTGCAGGAGCGCGGAAGGCTACGGGAGCGAAGGCAGATGTGGAGCTGCCAGGCAGAGAGTCTCAGGAGGAGTGCCGTGAGGGAAGGAGAACGCGAACCCCAAATAAAGGACACGGAGTCAGAGAGAAGCGTCTGAGTCCTTTATTACACTGGTGTCAGAAGTGAAACGGCATCTCAAAACAACTGAGAAAAAAAAAAAGAATATCCCTGCGCCATCATCTGCTACATCATCCGACGACGACGACCTTCCTCAGACGGTGGACCTGCCTGCGATGGAAGAGGAGATCCGTGCTGGAACGAGTACGGGTCCGGGTGAGCAAGGTGTCGCCGCGTCGGTGGACTTGTCTGTGCCGGAGGACGCCAACTTACGATGGAGACAGATGGCGGCGCAGATGGAGACCTTGAAAATCGTGCTGGCGCAACTGTGTGAGTTCACCACGCCAAGGACGACGTCGGGGAGGCCCGGTGGTGATCCGCAGGCCTCCGCCTTTCCTGCGCTGCCAGCGCCATTTGCCACGTGGCACAAAGACGCCATCTTGGGCGTGGCAGGGGAGAAACGGCGGGAAGCCGCCATCTTGTCTTCACCGCGGCGGGAGGACGCCGCCATCTTCAACATCGCGGCGGAGAGGCAGCCTTCCGCTGCCATCTGGAGGTGCCGCGGGGTGAGCAGCCTGCTGTGAGCTGCTGTTTTTCGAGGGGGTGCTGCGAGGAGAAGACGCCGATTCTGCAGCTGCTGGGGCGGGAGCTTCCCGTCCTGGCTCGGGTGCGTGACAACGGAGCAGTCAAGTCGCCGAACGAGTTCTGCGAGGCGTCTCAAGTTGCCACCCTGCCGTCCTCTTCTTGCTGCAGCCCCGGGCGAGTCGTAACGATACGCACCCGGCCTTAACACGCACCTCACCCATCTTTCGAGGGCCGGGGGGCTATTTTGGTTTTCTCTTATGACTCGATTGTGCGGAGCGCGGTTCGGACTGTGTGTGTATGTGTGTGTAATAACGATGAACGCGCTATCTGCTTGTTGCTTGGTGTCAATATAAGTGTGTGCGTGTGTTGAGAATGGACGGAGAGTCTGCTGTGTTGCTGAGTGTCAAATAGTGTGTGTGCGCTGCTGCATGGAGTTGTTATCTTGATGGTGAAGTTAATTATTAACTTGGGAGCGTCGGGTATCCTGTGCTGTACCATCTCGTGGGTTACCGTGCGCGATGGGCTTAATTGAAAAAAAAAAATTTTTTTTGGTGTATTGTGCTGCGAGGTGCTGTGTGCGATGCGGTTGTTGCAAGAGAGAGAATATTTGTGTTGTTGCTGCAAAGCTACGACAGGATTAATGGTGTGTTGGTTGCCTGCAGATCTGTTTGCTATTGTGCTTAAATGTACGCGTGTGATCGCGATATGCTGACTGCATGTGCTGTTACACCGTTCTGTACGGTTATGGGGTGCGATGCAGTGGTTGACTATTGAAATTGGATTGTTATTATATTGTGCGTACCTGTTGGGAATTGGTAACAAATTCGAGGGGGACCCAAAAATTTGGTTGTATGGGTGTTGTGCACACGAGATTGCGTGTATATTATAGGGGTAATTGAGCTTTTTGAAAATGAGGGTGCGCGATGACGCCGTTGTGGGTGGCTTAGATGTTAATGCTAATGGGATCATAAATGGGCGCCAAGTGGCGTCGCGTATTCAGTTGATTGCATGCAGCCACGAGTTGCTTTGCGAGTTGGGTTGTGTAACTAATGTGGTTGGTAAAATATTGGTTAAAAATTCCCCGATATGACTGCTGCGCGCAGCAAGCTGGGGCTGTGCGTCTATCGTTGTTGGGGTTGTTACAATAAGACGGGGGATGCATTTTGTGACCCCCAGCATAGGGAAGCTGGGGTGCACGAATGGAGAAAACTGGCCACGTGTTCGCACGTTGGGCCGCCATTTTGCGCGCACGCGGGGTATGGCGACGATGCGCTTTGCGGAAAGGGCCGCCATTTTGAGTGCGCGCGAGATATTGCGCGAACGCGCTGGGCGAAGGGGGACGCCATTTTGAGCGCGCGGGATAAACCGAGGTGGGGCAAATATTCCATCTGTTATGCCTGCCATTGTTGATTGGGTGATGCATGAGTTGTGGTCACATCGGCCTATGGCTGATGGCTGACCTGACAGCCCGGAGGCGAAACCTCCGTGGTATGTCTTAAACTAATGGGCCATGTGCTCATATGGCTCGGGGAGTCATGGTTCAGTTGTGCGGTGGCAGACTGAACCTGGTGTGCCTGGGGCTCACGGGATCTGGGTTAGGGTGTTATTGTCTCTATAAGAGAACATTGCCCCGTGGGGGGAGTCCATGGGGTCTGGCATTGCCGGGGGATGAACCTTCCCTGGGCTATAAAGCATCAGGCTATACGAGGCTGGTGTGTGTCCATCTCTGATGGGATAGTAAGGGAGGAGCATGGCCGAGTTGCTGCTCATCCCCGAAATTGCACTAGCTGAGAGTATGGTCAGTGGATGTTGCTGTGGGTTGACGACCACGGTGGGGGTTAGGGCGAGTTAAACGTTACCGCTGGGGAGCGTGGCTCTCTCCACGCGAGGGTGTGCGACTGGGGGCTTTGCTGAGAGTGACCGTGGGTACATGCTGTGTACGTGCGATGTCTGTGCTGGTCCTCAAGGGAGGATTGCTGGTGGGTAAGAGCAGGAAATTTTGTTGTTGTTGTTGTTGTCACGTGTAAATAATATTGTTGTTAAAATGTAAATACTGGGGCATCCATCGCGTTTATTTTGGGTATTTATGGGGGTTTTTTTTAAGCGGGCCGGATTTACATCATCTCCACTACCCTGGGGCCGGGTGGCTGTCGTGTACGACATGTGGATGTGCGTTGTGTTGTGCCTCAGGGGATTGGATTCTCCTTCTCGTCACAGATCTTCAGTGCCTGCCACACTGGGTGTTACCTGGTGTGCTAACTGGACGAGGACTTGAAGGAGCGATTGAGCGCCTGTTCGTCATTCCTGCTCTACCAGTTGCTCTTTGACGTTGGACTTGGGCCGAGCGGATGGAACTGCAACATGGACACGCACTAAAACACCACATTCCTGGGTTGTGCGCGTTGGCCGTTCTTGCGTGTCAGTTGCCGTTGTTGTGCATTGTGCCATTCTTATTCTTGTTGTTGTTGCGCGGAGGACAGGCCGGTGTTCTGTTCCAGTTCCTGATACCTCCCCTTTCGTTACTTGTGTTGTTGTTCTTATAATCTCCGTTGTGTCTGGGGGACTCCTGATTGTGATGCCTTCGCCCGCATTATTTTGTTCTGTTTCAGCCGAGGACGGCTGGAATTTTCTCTACGGGGGAGGGTAGTGTAATGCGGGCGTAAATGGGTGGGGCGGATATGACGATCCGAGAGGGAGGAGTCAGGGTCACGAGGGGGAGAAGTTATAGCGGGGAGACAGGAAGCCATCTGGGTCAGTCGGGGGAGTGAAGGGTGGTGAACACGTTGGGTGGTCGCCGTGCCTCAGCCTGGTGGCTGAGGGGCTCATGACGGCGCCAGCCAGCGGGGTGGAAGAGAGAGTGGAGGATTGAGGTTGGAGATGGCGAGATAGCCACAGAGGCCACGAAGGGCTGAGGTAGGAGATGGCGAGATAGCCACAGAGGCCACGAAGGGCTGAGGTAGGAGATGGCGAGATAGCCACAGAGGCCACAAAGGGCTGACGTTGGGAGGTGGCGAGATCGCCACGCACGGAGGAATAGGGAGCAGCGATGGAGCTGCTGTGAGAGCAGCCAGAGGGCTGCACCAAGAGCCTGCAGCGGAGCTGCAGGAGCGCGGAAGGCTACGGGAGCGAAGGCAGATGTGGAGCTGCCAGGCAGAGAGTCTCAGGAGGAGTGCCGTGAGGGAAGGAGAACGCGAACCCCAAATAAAGGACACGGAGTCAGAGAGAAGCGTCTGAGTCCTTTATTACACTTGTACTTGGCTGCACACGGTGATAAGTCACTCTGTTGAGCTATCATTTGTGGCTTTTGAAAACGCGCTACATAGCTCAGTGGGCTTAACCTGGTCCAAAAAAAGAATTGCTTCAATCGTTTAACAGTCGTCTCCCGCTGAATCCTGGTGACCTCCAGCTGGGTCGTGGTGACCTACTGGCTGGGTCGTGGTGACCTCCGGCTGGGTCGTGGTGACCTACGGCTGGGTCGTGGTGACCTCCGGCTGGGTCGTGGTGACCTCTGGCTGGGTCGTGGTGGCCTCTGGCTGGGTCGTGATGACCTCCGGCTGGGTCGTGGTGACCTCCCGCTGGGGCGACTGAATACATTTTTTTCTGCTCGCGATTACACGTTGTCGATTTGTGGACACCAAGCATGATGGGCGAGCGCTCATGGCTGCTTGGGCACACACGCTTGCAGGTACGGGGCTGCCCGTGTGAGGACGTCACACAACAACGAAACAGAGACCCCCCCCGCCCGTGTAGTCTTCACGGACTGTTGGGGAAAGTGCCGCTAGTGAATTAGCACCTAATGCCGGCATGGCGCACGAGGTGTTTGGTGGCGATGTTTACACATTGCAACCAGGTCAACCTAGGGGAGGACCAGGACAGGTTCAGATAATAATCATCACCCGTGTTGGCCATGAGCGGGAATCAAACTCGAATCACCGGGTCCGAAGCAAGCGCGCTAACCGCTGCGCCACCACTCCTCCCACACACACGAACACAAACATAGAAAAAAATCCCCTAGTATAGCCTCAACAGATTGTTGTGGCAAGTGCTGTTAGCAAGCACCTATGAAGGTCAGCACGTACACACACATGTATCGCGAGATGTGAACGTGCAGTGCCGGCCCGAGAGAGGCACGGCGTGCGGTGTAACAACATCACGGACACCGCAGTGATGTGGGTGTAGTACCGGCCCTATAGGGGTTTGGTGAGCGCTGTTTGATAGCGCTGGATTGCACCATGCTTGGCGTGCAGTGCCAGCCCCTACAGGACACGGCGTGTGAGTGCCGGCCCTAAGAATGAGGTTACAAAAGGCCATGGCACTCTGGTTGACCCGGGAGGACATGTGACCAGTTAAGTCTACAAAGGGGCCCCAAGTGGGGGCTGGGGGTAGTCACGTGGTCGGGATCCAGATCCTTCCCGAGGATTCTGGAAGGTGGTCGTGGCCAAGGGCGGAGTCAGCCACGCCGCAGAGGATAAAAGCCAGGTCCCCCAGAGGGACCGGGGCTGTTGTTGTTCATCCTGGAAGAAGCCTTCGTCTACGTTCTACGTCCTACCGAGTCTCCAACACGTGGACCTGGGCCGAAGCTGTTAGTCCCGGTCCGTAGTAGCAGTTACGTTGTAACTAGTGTAGTTAGCCTGGTGGTCACCACCATAGGTTGTTATTCTGTTAAGAGGGAAGTTACCCCGTGTGTTGGAGTTAAATAAATGTGTTGCCTCCCGTAGCCTGGTCCGGCCTACTCGCGTGACGGGCTGCTGCTTACCCTCCCAGTCCCACTGCTTCTCCTAAACATCTTCTCTCCTTGTTAATCGCTGAACTTCATCGTTTTGGAAATCATCCTGGCCAAAACTCCCCAGACGTCGACGCCGCTGTTGTCGAGCTGGCAGGAGTCATACTCTCCGCGTCGCTTCTCATGCTCCATATACTTAGATCATCCATCTCTCTCCATGCATCCACTACCTCCCATCCTAATTCCACCATCACCTGGTACTCTCATCCATCTTTCATCATCACCCTCGTCAATACCTGTCATCTCCTTCCTTAGCCGCCCTCGGTCCGCCTTGACATCTACTTACGCTACTCTCGCTCCACCATTCCATCCGATCTAAGCCACGTCCCACCCCTTGCTAATCTTCAGCCCCCTCCCTTTCCCATTCTCCACCCACCGATCCCTCCACCCCGTGACTGCCAGTTTAAACCGGGGCTCTGGAATGCATGTTCCGTTTGCAAACAAAACTCTGCTTTGACCCTTGATGCATTTCTGTCCCTCCATCTTGAGATGCCTTCGCTCTCACCGAAACTTGGGTCTCACCACCACCCGATGCTGCCACTCCTGCTGCTTCTTGCCACTTGCATCTTTCTACGTGACGCCTTCTCGCCCTCTCTACGTGCTCAATCTTTGCCGTCTCTGTGTGTCTGTTCCTCCTCCTTGTGCTAAATCCACACCGTCTCTCTCTCTCTCTTCTCCCCCCGCGCCATTCACTGGAACAAACTTCCCCCTCCACATTAAGCGGTCACCTTCGCTCACGAAGTTTCCACTCCTCACTCAAAACTCGCACTTATTGTTGCCTAGCTGACCCCCACGACCCCTTCACGTCCGCCTCACAACCACCACCATTACTCCTCCCTCTTCATATTATCATTGCATGGCTATCACTCACGAACCCCGTTCATTCAATCCATTCATTGTCATTTACTGCCATCAATTTCACTTTCACCGAATTCACGCATCACAGATTTGTCCATTGCTTCCTCTCATCTATTTCATTCACCTCATTTCCACCATTACATTCACATACTGTACCGTTGTTAACTCTGTCTAAAGCTCCTTAGATAAGGCGCTTTCTACATTTTTTTAAAGATAACATCATGAAGGTTATTAATGATTGTTAGAAAACAGTCAGGGACTCTGAAAGCACGAAGAACAACCCAGAGCCCAGGCCTACTGATAGTATCAAAGGCCATGACCAGGTCAATAAAGCAGAGATGTAGGTCTTGTTGGAATTCCCAACACCTCTGCTATAGCAGACGGACAGAAAATATGGCATCTGTGCAGGACTGTCCTGGCCTGAAACCACATTGGGTCTCTGCAAGCTTCTCCTTAGAGTGCCTAGCAAGGAGATGTTGAATAATTCTTGGCAGGATCTTTTCAGGACCACAACAACCACAACAACTGCCATTCGCCACTAAGTGGCGGTGACGTCACCACGGCGCTTGTGCCAGGCTATGTGCACGTTAAGGCCACGTGAAGTGTCGAGCGCCCGCCGGCAGGAGGTCACGGGGCAGACCCAGGTGCCACGGGTCAACTGAGATGACTGGCCGATGCACCACCTCTGCCCCGTACTGTGGCACACAAATATCCCCCGTAAGCCTTAACAGACTGTAGGGGCAAGTGCTGTTAGCGAGCGCCTATGAAGGCCGGAACGGTACACGAGGGGGTGGGTGGCCAGCACCACGCCCGACCGCCTTTGTCTCCCCAGTGGCGATGTTTACACACCGCACCAGGTAGTCATTTAAGGCCGAGTCGACCTAGGGGAGGCCCAGGACCGGTTCAGATAATCGTCACTGGTGTTGGCCGTGAGCGGGAATCGAACCCGGGTCGCCAGGTTCATAGCACAGCGTAGCGCTAACCGCTACACTACCGCTCCCCACTGTGGCACACGCACACATACGACAACAACAACAAGCGCCATTCGCCACTAAGTGGCGGTGACGTCACCACGGCGCTTGTGCCAGGCCATGTGCACCTTGAGGCCACGTGAAGTGTCGAACGCCCGCTGGCAGGAGGTCACGGGGCAGACCCAGTTGCCACGGGTCGACTGACCGAGATGACCGAGATGACTGGCTGATGTACCACCTGTGCCCCCTACTGTGCCAACTTTCTGTGCTTTAGCCACAACGCACACACACGCACGCACACGTACGCACGCACACGCACACACACATCCGTACCAGGCAGCCGCGGTGCTGTGCGGAGCGCGTCTCGCGCAGCGTGTACACCTTGCCGCCCACCGACACCTCACGCCACACTCCGGGCTGCACCAGCTCGGACAGCTCGCCGCCACCGCCGCCGCCACCGCCGCCGCCGCCGCGTGGATGCATCACCAGCACGCCGTTCGTCGTGAGGCCGTCCATGGAGCCGTCCGCGTCGCGCCACTTAGTTGCACGCTCCTGTGCACACCAAGGTCCGGCAACCCCAACCCCCACACACCGGCACAGCCGTTAAACAGACCGTCGGGGCGAGCGCCATTAGCAAGCGCCTATTAAGGGTCAGCACGGCGCCCAGTGCCGATGTTTACACACCACACCAGGTCCTCATTTAGAGGCCGCGTCAACCTAGGGGAGAGGCTGAGGACCGGTTCAGATAATCGTCGTCTGTGTTGGTAGCCGTGAGCGGGAATCAAACTCAGGTGGCCGGGTTTGCATGCACGCACACGCACGCGCGCGCACGCACGCATACATTGGTGTAGCACAAGGCAGCTGGATCAAGAACCGCTTGTGTATCCGAACAGAAATCTTTTTTCTTGAGCCAGTTATTATATTAAGACAGAAACAGGAGGAGGATTTCTCCACAACTCTGTCGCCTCATGAGGCTGGTTCTAATTATCGGCATGTCACGGTACCCAAATTGTAAATGTTGTGGATTTACTCTCGAACACACACGCGGCTAGTGACCGAGTAACGAATTGGCACGTTTTGTTTACGTGACAAACCTTACCAATTGGCCGTATTGGGCAGTGGTGACATTAAAAACACATTTCTATTTAGGTGATCTAACCCCAACAAAATGCCATTATGGATTATTATTGTTATTATTATTTTTCTTTAGGTAGGCCCAGCCCCTTGAGGTATATTGCCCGAGCCTCTGGGCGAGCCGCTCACCCCGAGGAAGATGTTGTTGGAGGAGTCGAAGCCGGCGGCATAGACCCGGGCGCGGTGCGGCGGCGAGCGCTCGCACAGGATGCGGCACGCGAAGCGCGAGATGGTGCTCTGCGCCGTCGGGCTGTCGCCGCTGCCGGTGCTGCTGCCGCCGTCCCCGCCGCCGCCGCCCGGCGACTTCCGCGGCGCCGTGTCCATCACCACGAAGTCGACGGGAGCCTCGCCGGAGCGACCCACCTGCGTGGGCACGCGGGCAACCGTCACGCGGGCAACCGTCACGTGGGCAACCCTCACGTGTGCACCCGTCACACGGGCACCCGTCACGCGTGGGGAGACGGCGTGGGCAACCGTCACGGCGTGGGCACGGGCGTTCCCGCGCCAGGCCGCGAGCCGCGACGTCTTTTATTGGTGGCGGACGCCAGTGCGCGCGCTTCGCCGTTTACGGGAACGTCAAAACAATTGACGGGTCGGAACTGCGGCTCATCCGCTTGGCCGGGAGGCCCTTCTGCCATCCTGCCACCAGGGGGACCCCCCGCCGCCGCCCACCGGCCGCGGCCCGCCGAGGAGGCGTTGCCGGGAGACGACGGGGGGATCGAGCCGCGTTACGTCGACTCCGAGCGAAACCTCCCGAGGGTGGTGCAGTCGACGCTCTCTACAAACCACCTGCCGGGTCGCTATCTTCCACGGCCAAGCGAACCGCGACGACCTCAGAGGTCCGCAGCCGAAGTGTGGGAGCCTCACGAAGGCTTTCAGCCGACGGCGTTGGGCGAATCGCCGCCGCCTTGGCGCTAAACTTGGCTACGCTACGCGCCCTGCGGTTTGCGACACGCGCGTCGGTCCGGTCAAGATTCCGGGCTTCCTTTCACTTTCCACCTACGAAGGGGGTGACCGCAAATCTGGCACTGTGGGTGGTGCGGCTTAGACGTCGCTCCCCGGTGTCCGTCCACGCGGAGGCCGTCACGTCGACGTCTCTCTAGAGATCACGTCGCGCGACCCGCGGAGGAGACACGCGTTGCCCTGCCACTAGCGCGCACGCACAGGCGACGCACAGACGCAAACCCCCGTCGCAATCGCGCAGACGCAGACGCAGGCGCGGTCGGAGTCGCGTGCGGGGCAGGCGCAGACGTGGACACACCCGCACGGGAGCGGGGCGCGCTGGCGCGGTGGCGGTGGCGGTGGCTTCGGCAGGAGACGCGTCGGTGCTGGCTTGGAGACGCAGCAGACACATCGGCGGGGAGACGGGTCAGCGGGGACACGAAGGTGGCGACACAGCGGGGGGTGGTGGGGGGTGGGCGGGGACACGGGGGTGCCAACAACAGCATCGGCGCTGCGCACGACGGCCGGCGATCGTGCCGTCAGCTGTGAGAATTAAATATCAGTTCTAGTGCCACGTGACGAACACTGCTCTCTCGATGGCACGGCGGGTTGGATGGTCAGGGGGAATTGCTGCCCCCTCCCGTGCGGACCAGAGGTGACTCGAAGGGAACTCGCGAGGGTAGCTCTGCGGTATCCACTGGGGTGGGGCTGTTCTGTAACGCGGGAAGCGTTTGCGGCGCCCCCGGCGAGATTTCCCAACGGATCGTTTTGTCTCGACGACGACGCGACGATGGAGCGGCAACGCCGATCGGGGAGGGGGGGGGGGCGGCGTGAGCGGAGGCCGCTTCCGCTGATCTCACCAGGTACATGTCCTGGTCCGGGTCGTGGACGTACTCCACCACCACCACGTGGCTGCGCGAGAGGCCGTAGGAGATGCTGTGCTGCTCCTTGCTCGACACGGCCTGCGCGCACACGCACACACACACGCGCACACATTCATCCGTGTCCCGCACGCCCGTCGCTGCCTGCACCGTCGGCGATTTTACGGAGAACGCGCGATGCGAAACGGCGTAGGAGGAGGAGCGCCCCCCCCTCACACGGTTGGTTCAATTCCCTGTCGCGGCTAACGTCGGGGGGGGGGGGGCGGGGGGGCCTCGTGAGATACACCAAAGCGGTCACGGTCTGACTGCAGTGGGGAAGTATGGTCGACCGACCCCCCGTGGTTGACGTGGCGTGCGGAAGCTTTCATCCAGCGGTGGATTGTCAAAGGAACGTAAATTAATTTCTGTGCAGTTCCATAGGTTACGCAACTTCGGTGAATATTTGACACTCACCCTAACAACACATAGGGGGCATGTCACCTTGACGGTTCTGATGCCGCATACGTCAAAATGAATGCGCCATTACCACCACCATCCTAGCGTGGATGTAAAAAGTCAACGGTGGACAAATGCCGTTCGTGAACTACCAATCAGGAATGACAGCCCTGATCGGTTACCCATACTACGTGCGCAAGTAAAACAAATAAAATCCTTAGTGCACTCTACTCCACGATCACGTCCACAGTTTGAGACGTGTCCAGAATAAACGTACGGCCCGTCACCGGTGGTGGATCCGCGCTTTCGTTGAATGCAAGATTGGCATCTCTATTTGGCAAACGCGCGGTGTGCGAGCCCGGAGCGGCTGCGATCGCGAGAGATATGCGATTCTGCGGTTACGTTTCGATTTAAAGCTTTCGTGACTGCAGGGATTCATCTTCTTGGTTCTTTCGGTAAAGTCACGTAGAAGGGAAGTAATAAAATAATAAAAATAAAACATAATAAAATAATTCTCACGACGTTGCTTGCGTTGTAGCCGAAACGTCGTGAGAATTATTTTATTTTATGTTTTATTTTTATTATTTTATTACTTCCCTTCTACGTGACTTTACCGAAAGAACCAAGAAGATCTGCGGTTACGATTCCACTGGGATTATTCCCAACCTGTGGGCAGCTAAGCCCCCTCCTAGGGGGGCGGCTGAGGATCCCTGGGGGGGGGGGGGGGGGCAGCCGCGTCCACGTGGGAGGCTGGGTGCTGTCGTTTGACTTTTTTTATTTTTACGCCCATCTCTAAATAGGGGCTCGCTGCCAAATCTGCGGTACGGAGGATTTACCGTGAAGACACGCCAAGCGTGGGAACGGTGATCGACAGGGCGAGAGAGACCGAGTTGAAAACGAGACGCAACTGTGTCAACAAGCATCAGCATCATGACTCAACTCCCACCGGACATGCTCTGGCTTGCCCTCGTCCCGCGTTTAATAGAATTCCCCATCGGCGTCATCGTCGGGGTTTAAAATAAATAAGACGACGTCCGCCGCCTTCCTCGAGTTGGGGCTTGCCCAAAGGGTGCCGAGGTCACCGCAACGAGGAGGAGGGCAATCGATTCGGGAACTAAGTGCCTGCCGAGAGTACAGGTGCAGTAAACGTGTCGATAAGCTCACACACAAAACTACTCATATCCCCGTAACCAATCAACTCCGCTCCCATCACAGCTCAAAGAGTTGTTGCAATTCGGGCTGTCCTATGCAATTCGGTAATACATTTTTTTTTACTTTCAAAGAATCGAATCACCGGCGGCTTGCAAGGGGGTCGTGTGCACCAAGCGCACACGACGACGACGCACCGACCGACAACGATTGGCTTCTCACGGTGCCAACGAGAGCGCGCGTCACGCGGACGCTGGAATCGACTTGAACCCGACGCATCGTCACGGCCGTCGACGCCTCACGGGAGACGGTCGCTTGGTCCGCTTTCTTCGGGTTGCCGCGGCGACAGTGGCCGGCTGATCGATTTCAAGATCGCCACTCGCCGTCTTCAAGATGACTTCACGACGGAGATGGTGGCAGAGGAGTTTTTCTTCGTTACCCCTCAACACTGACCTCTCAACAGAATCAAGACCACGGTGCATGGCGATTTAAGGGGCCTGATAGGATGCAGAACTCCATGATCTTCCTGGGGTTCTGTATTCTATCAGGAGCTACACTTTGCTACCTCCACAATGATGATGATGCTGCTGCTGCTGCTGCTGCTACTCCATCCTCCGTCATTTTGAGCTAAGCTGAGACCGGTTTAACACCGGTCTTCCCGGTTACACTTCCAGCACAGGCTGTCCCCCGTCAGCGGTTACTCTGGATTTTCTCCCCGCTTCTCACGCCATGGCTCCCAACGACGCTGCAGTTTCACGGTTTGCTCTCGCACAATTGCCTTGGCTTCTCTTCTCGCCATCCACGGGATATGCAATCGTCTTCTGCGGCACCCACAGTTACCGCCGGGACAACCGACGGATTTATTTAGCGACCAGCGGCGAACGTGCGAGGCCGTATATCAAATGAAACGTTATGGTTGTTATTATTGTTGTTGTCGTTGTTATCGTGCGACGCTCGGTCGACGTCGCGCCAGCGTCCGCGAGGGGGTGGGGGGGGAGGATTAGCCGCCCGCGCGTAGCGAAACGCGGCGGGCCGAGCGATCTCCTCCCGAGCCGAGCTGGGAGGAAAGGTCGCCCGGCACAAACCTTCCACGGCCCCATAGGCCAGGGGGGTTCACAGGCCGACCGGCTCTGTGGGGTCGAGCGAGTTTTGGGGGTGCCGCCTCTCGGTCCGGGCCCCCCTCGTGCAAGGCGAGTGCCACTTAGCCAACCTGCAAGAACACAAGCGGATCGTTCGTGAAAACCGCAAAGCAGGCACCGACTTCTCGCGGGCAAGAACGGCAATCGGGGTTCACGGAGGCGGGGCGGAGGGGAAGGGGGCGGCGCGTGACACTTACTCCGCGGGTCCCGCGGAAAGCCGGCGGGGCGAGGCGTGGACAGGGGCGGCGTGGAGGGGTGGCACGGCGTGGCATGGCGTGGAGTGGTTTGTGGAGTGTTGCTTGATAATCTTGACGATGAGCGGGCGAGCGAGCGAGGGAGGGTGAACAAATCCCTTGGCTTGCGAGGCTGGTGGGAGCTGTCGAGGATGAGGCCGCGAGTCGCTCGTGGTAGCGTGACGGTGAAACGATGCCGAGCCGGTCCGCGCAGACGTCTCGGAGAGGAAGAGCAATTAGCCAGGAGGGGGCCCCCCTCACCCCGCCCAGGTTGCCAGGCTCTCGCGTCGGGAGAGGGTTCATCACGCTAGGGGCTGTCGTGCCGGGCTGGCCGAGACCCCTGGAAACCGGCCGGGAGAGCGCACGCGCGGCTACGAAAACAGCGACGTCCCCCCGGCGTCCGCTTGGACTCAAAGAGACTGCGGGCGAGCGCGACGGCAACAGTAGGGCGCCGTCGCCAAAGACTTCTGACGCTTTGGGGGTGCCAGCGCAACCTCGTGGGAGCACCCGGCGCCGGCAGGGCACGAGGCTGCAGCTACGGCCGCACAGCGCGCGGCCACGTTTGCGAGCGGGGTTTGGTAAGAGCAATAGCCCCGTCGCAAATTCGATTGTGAGATTATTACGCATGAGCTAATCACGCATAATAAATCACGCCGCGTCCAGCTCTTATGAACGGGAGCTCCCAGCGCTTTGCACGGCCCCCCCTCCCTGCTTTTACAGCCCGCGCCAACTCGGCAGGCTGGCGCTGCGCGCACATTGCGCCGAGTTAGGGGATGGTTGGCCGTTTGGGGAGTCAACCTGGGCTTGACTGCCGCCGGGGGAAAACGCAGGAGTCAAAGGTGAGATGTCGTCCGAGGTGCTTTGGGGGGGATGCTGAAGTATTTAAGCGAGGGCCACTCATCCCGGCATGCAAGATCCTCATTGCGCCGACACGCTCCGTAGAACAGTGCCTTCACGTCACAGGCTAAGCCATCGATTTTTTTTCTTCTACAAATCGCATCGTACGTTGGGTCACCCGCCTTCCAAACGACGGAGGAAGATGCGACATCTGGACAGCGGTGCTTAGGCGGGCGGGCGGGCACACAACAGGGTGGCTACGTGGACTGCGACATCAGCTGAGGGCGGCGCAGCAAAAAAATACTGCGCTGTACTTCTACGCTCCCAACGTCCACGGCTCGCCACTTTCACCAACCCGCACTGACCAGCAGCCTGGTGAAACGTGGTCAATCGACCCCTCCGCCACCGCCGCACGCACGGACGACACGGCTTGGCACAGCCAGCCGCTCGTCATCCAGCAGCGGAGATGACGAAGGGGGTCTCTCTCTGTGTGTGTGTGTATTTAGCGGATGTCCGTGTTTCTCCGCGGTGGGTTGGCGCTGCAACCGACGGGAAGCGCGTCTGCTTCTCGCGGCTCAACGTCGCGGTTGCCAAAAGCGTCACTCCGCCACCCTGGGACCGTTCTGCCCATTTCATCCCACGCGGCACCTTTATAAGCGTCCCGAGTGCGCACGCGAGCACGCACGCACACACACACGGTCGCTAGAAGTTCGAGACGTCACGTCAAATATCGTCAGCGGCCGGCAAGGGACGATGGTCGAGTCCAATGATGGTCGCGATGCCCGAGGGAGGGGCGGGGCACTCGTCCCGGAGGACGTGGGGATGGGAGCGGTGGAACCATCTCATGTGCGGCCGCCCAAACGGACTGCAGTCAGTGAAGTCCGCGAATCGCATTCACCTTGGCCTCCGCGGCTGGAACCACACAGAGACAAAGATTCCCCGCCCCACACAGCCCACACAGCCCGCATCGCCTGCCGGGGCAAGCGCTGGCAACGGTACGGAAGCGATCGGTGACCTCCGCCCTGCGTCGCGGTGAAACAAACACGGCCATCGTTTGCCTGGCGGCGGCGCCACCGACGATGGATGACGGCGGTGACGGCGGTGGAGGAACGGCGGTGGAGGCGGCGGTGGAGGAGGAACGCTCGGTGATGATGATGGGAGAACGCGAACGCCGATTGGTCGGCGGTTGCCCTCGCGCCGGCATTGCGCGTCTCACCTCACTCACCGCCGTCGGCACGGCTACCACAGGCGGGGGGGGGGCAGTGAGGAGGCCGAGGGGGAGGAGCTTGGTGCAGAGGGGGCGGGACTACTTGGTCAGGTGGTTAGGGGGGGGAGGGGTGAGGGGGGGTGGTTGGGTGAGGGGGGGAGGTGGACTGGGTGAGGGGGGGGGGGTTGGGTGAGAGGGGGGGGTGGTTGGGTGAGGGGGGGGGGATTGGGTGAGGGGTGGTTGGGTGAGAGGGGGGCGGTGGTTGGGTGAGAGGGGGGAGGGGTTGGGTGAGTGGTGGGGTGAGTTGTGTTTTGAGAGGTGGGGTGAGTGATGGGGTGAGTGGTGGGGTGAGTGGTGGGGTGAGTAGTGGGGTGAGTAGTAGAGTGAATGATGGGGTGATTGGTGGGGTGAGTAGTGGGGTGAGTGATGGGGTGAGTGGTGGGGTGAGTGGTGGGGTGAGTAGTCGGGTGAGTAGTGCGGGTGAGTAGTGGGGTGAGTGATGGGGTGAGTGGTGGGGTGAGTAGTGGGGTGAGTAGTAGGGTGAGTGGTGGGGTGAGTAGTGGAGTGAGTGATGGGGTGATTGGTGGGGTGAGTGGTGGGTGAGTAGTGGGGTGAGTAGTGGGGTGAGTGATGGGGTGAGTGGTGGGGTGAGTAGTGGGGTGAGTAGTGGGGTGAGTGATGGGGTGAGTGGTGGGGTGAGTTGTGTTTGAGAGGTGGGGTGAGTGATGGGGTGAGTGGTGGGGTGAGTAGTGGGGTGAGTAGTGGGGTGAGTGGTGGGGTGAGTTGTGTTTTGAGAGGTGGGGTGAGTGATGGGGTGAGTGGTGGGGTGAGTGGTGGGGTGAGTAGTGGGGTGAGTAGTGGGGTGAGTGGTGGGGTGAGTGGTGGGGTGAGTGGTGGGGTGAGTAGTGGGGTGAGTAGTGGGGTGAGTGATGGGGTGAGTGGTGGGGTGAGTAGTGGGGTGAGTGGTGGGGTGAGTGGTGGGGTGAGTTGTGTTTGAGAGGTGGGGTGAGTGGTGGGGTGAGTAGTGGGGTGACTAGTGGGGTGAGTGGTGGGGTGAGTTGTGTTTTGAGAGGTGGGGTGAGTGATGGGGTGAGTGGTGGGGTGAGTAGTGGGGTGAGTGATGGGGTGAGTAGTGGGGTGAGTGGTGGGGTGAGTAGTGGGGTGAGTAGTGGGGTGAATGATGGGGTGAGTGGTGGGGTGAGTAGTGGGGTGAGTAGTGGGGTGAGTGATAGGGTGAGTGATGGGGTGAGTGGTGGGGTGAGTAGTGGGGTGAGTAGTGGGGTGAGTAGTGGGGCAAGCGGCGGGATGAGTGATGGGGTGCGTGGTCGGTTGAGTGGTGATGGTGAGTGGTGGGGTGAGTGGTTGCGTGGGTGGTGGGGTGCGTGGGTGGTGGGGTGTGTGGCTTTGTGAGTGGTGGGGATGAGTGGTGGGGTGAGTGGTTGCGTGGGTGGTGGGGTGCGTGGGTGGTGGGGTGTGTGGCTTTGTGAGTGGTGGGGATGAGTGGTGGGGTGAGTTGTTGCGTGGGTGGTGGGGTGCGTGGGTGGTGGGGTGTGTGGCTTTGTGAGTGGTGGGGATGAGTGGTGGGGTGAGTTGTTGCGTGGGTGGTGGGGTGCGTGGGTGGTGGGGTGTGTGGCTTTGTGAGTGGTGGGGATGAGTGGTGGGGTGACGGACCTCGGTGAGGATCGGCCCCGTCACTCACCTTGCACTCCTGCATCGCCGTGGTGATGTGCGAGCTGCTGGGCTGCACGCCGTTGGCCTTGGCTCGGCGGTGGAGCGCAAAGCGGCTCTTACGCCTGCCCCGGTCTCCATCCGGCAGCGAGCCATTGTACCTGCGCCAGCCACATACACAAACATCCCACCACCCGCTTAGCCTCTAGCAGGTTTCTGGGGGGCGAGTGCTGAATGCGGGCGCCCATGAAGGCCGACACGGCACACGAGGGGGTGGCCGATGTTCGCACGCCGCACCAGGGGATCATCTGAGGCCGAGTCGACCTAAGGGAGGTGCAAGACCGGTTCAGATAATCGTCACAGGTGTTGGCCGTGAGCGGGAATCGAACCCGGGTCACCGGGTCCGTGGCGCGGCGCGCTAACCGCCGCGCCACCGCTCCCCACAACTCTTGCTCCCCGCGATCATGTGACCACACCGCCTCCCACTCGACTCGCGGCCGACCATCGCCGAGAGCGATTCCCCACTCCGGTCTCGGGATCCCCCCGAACCCCACCCCGCCCCCCCTCGCCAAATCCACCACCGACCGGTGCGGCAAAGCATTGGGGGTGGGTGGGGGGAGGGTGGAGGTCAAACATGCCCCCCCCCCCCCCAAAAGACCCTCATCCGTCAGCGGAGCGACGCATCCGATCCGAACCGCCTTTCTACGCTTATTATCGCCGTGGCCGCCGACCGAAGCGCTCGTTCCCCACCGCCCCCTGCCCCCCCCCCCCCCACCGGGGCAAGACTCACCCCAGGACGATGAGCTCTCCGTATTTCACGGCGTCTCCTCTGCTGGTGGCGGCTGGCTCCTGTTTGCCGGACATGGGCCTGGGGGCACAGGCGGAGCGGCGGGGCCCGGCGGCGGCGGCGAAGAGGAATGGGAGCGGGGGGGGAGGGAGGGGACGTGGGAACGCGTCCGTCACCCTTCGTCCACGCCGTACGCGTCGTCCATCTCGACCGGGCGATCGATCGCGACCCTGCGGGATGAAGGGGGGGAGGGGGAGCAGAGGGTGAGGGGGGGGGGAGACGGTCACACCGTCGTTAGAAATAAAACAACGCAGGGACAGCACGCGGACAGACGTGGCGGTGTGGGGAGAACTCGGAGCTCCGGTAAAGCAACGCGAAGCCAGACTCCAGCCCGCACAGGGCGTCGGGGCGAGTGCGGGACTTGCCCGTAGGCCGCACAGACCGTCGCGGGCCCCTGTCGCGGCCGCCTTGGCGCACGGAGGGGTTGGTGCGGACGGCACTCACGCGCGGCCGCCTGCGTCTCTGCGGTGCCGATAGTTACGCGACACGCACCAAAGCACCCATTTTAAGTGCCGAGTCAGCCTACGGGAGGGCGGACGGGCCGGTTCGGATAATCGCCACCGATGTTACCCATGGCCGGGAATCGAACTCGGGTCGCCGGGTTTTCGTAGCGCCACCGCTCCCACCCTTGCAGGCAAATTAGTCACTCTCGCTCACGACAACAACCGCCATTCGCCACTCAGTTGCGGTGAAGTCACCACGGCGCTTGTGCCCGGCTATGTGCACGTTAAGGCCACGTGACGTGTCAAACGCTGGCAGGTCACTGGACAGACCCAGGTGTCATGCGTTGACTGACAAGACGACTGGATGATTCACCACTTGTGCCCCCTACTGTGCCGAGTTGGCACTTAATCACGCACCGTCACACACTCACACGTATTACCATGCTCTCGCGCAGATTAACCACCCTGGAGGAATTCGTGAGCTGCTTCTACATTTCCACCGCGACGTCCCAGGAATTTGTATTCACAGCCCGGCGCAGGTCTCCCTTGCAAACAACAATAACAACAAATTACTCATTTACCCAGGAGAGACACACCCAGTCCAAAGGGTCTTTTTGAGGAGGGCCATGCCACATTGCGATGTTTGGGTCAACGCCGATGGCACCGTACTCCCTTACCGACGCGCAACGGAACCGGGGAACCCGGAGGAAACCCATGCAAAGAATGGCGGCGCACGAGATCAGAGATCGAACCCAGGTCCGTCTTGGTGCGAGGCGCGAGTGTTTCAACCGCACCACCACCACCCTACCGACCCGTCGTAACGACGCAGCAGGCACGGGCCATTGTGTCCCACGGGAACGTCCGACTGATGGATGTGCGCCGGTGGGCTGCTACTCAGGCCCTCCCCCGCATCCACCACCCCCCTCTCATCCATCCCCCCCACCACCACCACCACACAGCAGCAAGTCGCTCAGCGTCAATTACGCTGCAGCTGCTCTCGCTGCTGCCGGCACCAGAGAGGAATCGACAGGTTCGGGGTTCAACTCTCACCAAGGAGGTTAAAGGCCACGCGCCGCTCGAGACGCGAGGTCACGTGACCGCTCAGCGTTGTCGCCGTGGGCTTCTCATCATCATCATCGTCACGAGGCACGATCTATCCGCTGCTGGATGAAGGTCTCTCCGTGCTCTCACGGTCTCGCCGAGCAACGATATGACCTGCCCCTACGGGACATCTGTGAAACAGGGAATAATAGCTCATCGCATTCCTCCAGTATGCATATTCTGCTTTCGTCACACCATCTCGGCCGCGGATGGCAAAACCCTCTTGCCTCTTTTGGCCGTCACTCCGTCGAACTCGGGTCGCGAGGCACGCGGCGCGCTCACCGCTGCGCCTCCACTCCACTCACGAGCCAGGCTTGGTCCACCCTGGTTCCACGCGAAGCGTCAACGTAGCACTGGGGAGTTAGCCGACATAGTTTGTTTTTCAGCTACTTTTATTTTTTTACGGTGAATTTGAAAGTCTCCACCACCATCCATCATCCCTTCTAGCAGCCGTGCCCTGCTCGAGTCTTCATGCGGACGGTGGTCGTGTCTTCACGAGTCTTCATGTGCACGGTGGTCGTGTCTTCAAGAGTCTTCACGTGGACGAGACTTCACGTGTCTGCACGGTGGTCGATGTGTCGGCTCCTCGCTGCCGGAAACGCGCTACCGGGGGAGGGGAGCAACCGGCAGCTCCGGTTCAAACTCCAGAGTTACGAGATTCGGGGGAAACGCGGTGTTACAGGCAGACGGCCAGCTGCCAGGCATCGGCCGGTCAGAGCACTCGCTCAACTGATGCTCAGAAATATGAGAGTTCAAATCAGAGTGAAGGGTCAAACTCGTATCTATGGAAACTTTGTTGCCAGCATCCAAAAATGATGAGAAATAAGAATAGGTTCTTACCTTTTCTGGCAATAAAAGAGGCGGTGTTATGATGTTCAAACATCAAACAGGTACCCCTTTTGCGAGGCACCAAATCCGCATTAACCACACATACTTTGTGGCAAAAACATGCAAAACAAACGCGCTCCGATAGTATAACGCAGTGGCTTCAAAACCGAGTGGCCTCAACTCAGCCCACCGTCAACATCATCACCGTCGTTGTCATCATCAAGCCAAGGTGTCGAGGGACAGTACCGAGAAGCGGCCTCTATTATTGTACGACACGTACCGCGCGCGCGTCACCTCCGTGTGGGTTCTTTCCGCTGGCGTTTGTTATTTTTAGAGAGAGTGCCCAGCGCTTTCACGGGGCTCCAGGAAACCCATCGCAGTGCACTCGGTGGGGAGGGGGGGGGGGGAGCCGGGCGGATGAGACTGGAGATTAAATTCCTGGCGGGCGCCCCCATCACCCATAACAGCAGCAGCAGCAACAACAACAACGGATGCCCCACCCCGACGACGATGGCAAACCCCGGGCAAGGCCCCACACCGAGCTGCGTAGCTCTTCTTTCAGGAGCGACCTGGCTCGCGCAAATCATCGCTCAACGAAGCGGATTATCGTCACGTGGAAATTTATAGCAGCCAAATACTCTAATAGTTTGATGTTGATTCTCAACGGAGGAGAAAAAAAAAACGGAGGACCCGGAGAAAAATCCGCACGACCACAGAGAGAGACAAGCAAACTTCAAATATACAGCAGCAGGCATCAGGGTCGGGATCGAACCCACGACATCCTGTATACCAGGCGAGGTAGTTCAACATTACACGAGCCAGGGTTGGGGAACCGCCTCCTAACGGAGGGCCCCAATCCAAGCGAGTTTCGGCTACTCAGCTGCACTTTGTAAACGTTGTGGGGTTTACTCTCCAACACACCACGACGTGTGCTTTGTCTACGTGACAAACCTTTACCGACTGGCTGTGTCGCGCGGCGGGTTTAACGGAACATTTATATTTACGGGATCTAACTGCCCCCCCCCCCCCAAAAAAAACCCTTTATTATGGCTTGGCATCGGTTGGTGACCTGCTGACTGGGCACGGCAGAGCCAGTGGTGAGAGATTCCACATTCACGTGACGGACGGAAGTCTATCCACATGACAACTGGTCTCTGGAAGGCCGTGTGGAAGGAGGCCGGACTTAAGCGGCAGCCGGCGAGGGAGTCGCACGCGCGCCGTCCGCAGCCAAACGGAGTTGAATTACCAACGCTGCCGACTACCCCGCAAAGCGGTGGCTATTTTATCGACCCCGGAAGGGGGACCATGGGCCCGAGTCGAACTCCAGACCTGGGTTTGAGAACTCGCGACCGCGAGCTCTGCTAGCTCTGCAGCTGAGCCGCCTTGGCCGGGGAGGGTCAAAGAGTGACCCTCGGCGGTTATCCAATAATAACGAGGCGAGGCCCCCCCCCCCTTCCCCCCACGGCGCCTGTGCCAGGCCAGGTGCGCTTTTGAGGCCACGTGAAGTGTCGAACGCCCGCTGACAGGAGGTCACGGGACAGACTCAGGTGCCGTGGGTTGAATGAATGAGATGACTGGCGGATGCACCAGCTGTGCCCCCCCACCGCCCCTAGTGTGCCAAAGCCACACACAACCCACGCACCTGTTGCCTAGGAGAGAGGGGGGGGAGAGGCGGAGAGGGACTACACCAACAGATGCCACCGCCGTCACCACCACCGCCGCCACCACCAAATCCCAAACTTCCGAGCGGGAGCAGCTCGAGTCTCGGGAGCGGGAATGTTCCGCATTTCCGCATAATGAGCTGTTCGTATGGCCTTGCAACAGCTGTGGAGGCGGGGGGGGAGGTGCAGGTACGCCCGGCTGTCGGGGCTAAGTGCCGGCCGGAGTCAAAAGATAGCAGGGGGGGAATGCCGCGAGCCGATTGGCGTTGGCCCAAAACCGCCGTGCGATAACTATCGCAAAATAAGATGGCACAAATTATCTGCTGCTGCTGCTGCTGCTGCGTGAGCAGCGGCGCGAAAGTACAATTGGCGAAAGCAAGTCGACGCATTCCTCAAAGATCACGCCCCGGGCGTCCTCAGAAAAAAGAGTGTACAACAGGCGACGTATCGGGCAACGGCCCTTCTTCGTGGCGCACGGATCGACGAAGGCAACGCAATCTGCAGGGCCGTCCTGGCAGTTTGGAGGTCAGAGGTAGGAGGTCAAAGCTGGCACCGCTGAGATCCAGGCGTACCCACACTTCACCCCACCACGCGTACTTGCACTGCTGGGCGGGGACAGAGGCGGCAGGAAGGATTTAAGAAACTTTCCCCCCTTACACCGCCGTGACAGCTCCCTTCACTGCTCAGTCACGGAGGTCAAAAAAACGGGACGTTTATTGCTCTGGACACAGTTCTGTACTTGCGGTGAACCGTTTTGTGTTCATGCGGCAAATGCATGAACATTACCGCGGCCCACATTCCCAACAGTGGCGAGATTCTTCCAGTGCCCCACACTCCCAATGCCACCGAGGCACGAGGGAGAGCCGGGGAGTGGGGGTGGAAGCATTGCGAGCGATTGCACGGTGGGGGAGCGCTGCGAGCGATTGCACGGTGGGGGAGCATTGCGAGCGATTGCACGGTGGGGGAGCGCTGCGAGCGATTGCACGGTGGGGGAGCATTGCGAGTGATTGCACGGTGGGGGAGCGTTGCGAGCGATGCACGGTGGGGGAGCGTTGCGAGCGATTGCGCGGTGGGGGAGCGTTGCGAGTGATTGCACGGTGGGGGAGCGTTGCGAGTGATTGCACGGTGGGGGAGCAT